TATATATATGTATGCATGCATGCATGCATGCATGCATACATACATACATAGCTTAATTTGTAAACCAATAGATGCCGGAACGCAAATAGCAGGCGGGACGGGGTCCTCCCCCAGAAAAATTTTAATAAAGTAGATGCATTTTGGTGTATTTTAACAGGTTGTTAAGCATCCTACATTTACCTATATTTGTAAACACTACACTTCTGTCAAGCATCCTCCCCCCACTCCCCTTCCGAGCCCGACTCTGTCCCTGCTCATTGTTGTCCGACTCCACATGTGAAACCTCAGGTGCCTGCCTGCGGCTGTGGACTCCTGCCCGTGCACGACAGCCTAATTAGCTTGGCACTCTCCCCCACCACTATTTCGAAGTGGGTGCTCTTTTAGGGGTGGAGATTTTTTTTGAGTAGACGAGGAAATGCTGCTTGAAGAGGCTACATGTATGCTCGTAAGTGGCTGTTGTGTTTAAACTTAGTGTTTACATAATTATTTTCAGTTTACATATCCAATATAAGTTTTATTCCTTTAAGGCAGACATATTTGTTCATAACTTTATTATTAGTAAACCTGAGAGTTACCGGATCCAAGCCAACAGTTATCGGAACGCACCCTGTCAAAATAAGAGAGTTCCCGGATCCTGTTCCAGCAGGATCCAGCTCAAAATTATTTAGATGGTGTTTGGTATTATTAATGCACAAATTCAAATTATTAATGCACAAATTCAAACACCTCATAAACACACAAAATAAAGTCTAAGTTTTTCTTTCATTTCCATTTAAGGCAGAACAAGAAGCACATACAGTCTTCAGAGAGCGACAGGAAGGTAAAGGTTTCTTCATCACATTGTTTTCCATCTATTATAATTAAGCTGTCAAACTGATAAAAACTGCAGTTTCGTCATCACTCTCTAGTTTTTTCTAATAGTTTCTATTTCAGGATCCTTCCACCTGCTGTGCAGCAAGCGACCTCCTTGGTTTCATTATTTATCTTCAATAAGTGACAGGAGTTGTGGGAAAGTGTGTTTATTCGTTCAAAAGTTGTAAAAAAGGGAACTTTTTGAAAATTCTAACTATATAAACTTATGTTTTTATAGTTTATACAGCATTTGTTGTGGCTCCTCGGACTGATGAAGTCCTTTGGATGAAAGACGAAATGTTTCAACAAAAATAAACCGTCCAGAGGACCTGATTTAACTTTTTTGGATATGAAAAGTTGACGTTTTCAAACTTTTTTGTTTTCATCTATTTTCAAACCATTAGTAGTAAATTAATACACCCCTTGCCTTGGTTAATTTGTGAAATTAAAGCTTAATTTAATAAACTAGTGAATATAAAATACACTCTTGCTAATTTAATTCTATGCAAAAAAAATAAACCAAAGTCTAGAGACTCAAGGTTTATTTTAATCAGGTAAAAACTAAAATGTTTTGTGTATATTTTTGCCACAACTCAAGTGTATATTTGTCTCAAGCAGGCTGTCAGAAGTTAAAAATCCAAACTTTACTGCAGACACAAGAGACAAACAGGAGGCAAACAGAGAGAGTATTGAATGTTGCCAGCAGATGGCGGTCACCAAACACCAATATTATCACCAAATACCTGGTTTAAACAAAATTATTTTACATTTCTTTTCTTTCTAAGAAGCATAAATCTCAAATTAATGGCTCATTATTAAAGGCTAATTTTAAAAAATGGTGTCAGGTGATCAAGATGAATTGCTCAAATATTTTGGCTTCTCTAAAGAAATTAAACTTCTGAAACTCAGAAGGTTCTGGTGTTGCTCATGACTCCCTGCTTGCTGTAGAACACACACTCTGTGACACTGTGATGAGTAGGACTGCTACTGGGCCACAACCACACAAACTGGTTCACTTATTTAGGAGGAAAAACAGTTTCTTACTAACCTTGAAGCATTACATTGTGATTAATGATAATTCAATGAGTCATGCTGATCTGAATAAATATTGTGTAATTCATATTAAGTGTTTTTATTTGTACAGTTCCGAGTGAAGAATTCATGCAACATTTTTCATGGCTGGTATCCTCCCATCAAAAAGACGCCTCAGTGACATAAAAACCTTGACTTTAGCTTAAATGTAGAATTTACGTCTTGTTTTGAACAGCTTTCATTTTGATCATGTGAAGATGTTTAAAAGACATAAAAACCTGGATGACCCTAAATTTTCTGCTTTTGAACATAAACAAGACTGAGGTTTTAGTTTTTGGACCTGAGCATATCTCTCCTTAGATGGCATTAATCTGGCCTCCAGTTCTAATGTTAAAAATCTTGGTGTTATTTTTGGATTGGATTTGGATTTGGATTGGATTGTTATGCTGATGACTGCCAGATCTACCTGCCTGTAAAACCAGCAAGTGTTTGCTCCATTCACCCTCTGTTAAAAAGTCTGGATGACATTAAGGCCTGGATGGCTTCAAATTTCTTAAGTTTTAACAATGAGAAGACTGAAGTCATTGTTTTTAGCCCTAGCTCAACTGCTGCCACTGATCCTGTCAACCTGGACTCTCTTCAGCCAAATCTTAAGCAGTCTGGTAAAAAATCTCGGGATGGTTTTAGACTCTGACTTCAAGTTTGACGAACAAATCAACTCTGTTCTGCAGAAAACCTTCTTCCAGTTAAGACAGGTAGCTAAGCTCAAGCCAGTGTTGTCCAGACCCGACCTTGAGAAACTAGCCCACGCCTTTGTCACAACCTGATTGGACTAATGCACTCTATGCTGGGATCAGCCAGGCCTCCATCTCACGTCTTCAGCTCATCCAGAATGCTGCTGCTCGGCTTTTAACCGGCACTCGTAGGTCTGAACATGTTACACCAGTTCTGTCCTCCCTTCACTGGCTCCCTGTTCGTACGAGGATAGTTTTTAAAATTCTTCTGTTGACCTTCAACTGCCTAAATGGCCTCGCACCCCTTTACCTCTCTGAGCTTCTGGAACCTTACGTTCCCTCTCGGGCCCTGAGATCATCCGATCAGCCGCTTTTGGCTGTTCCAAAAAGAAGACTGAAGCTCAGAGGAGATCAGGCTTTTTCAGTCATGGGCCCCAAACTCTGGAACAACCTGCCCCCCAACATCAGGCAGACCACCTCCCTTCCTCCCTTCAAATCTCTGCTTAAAACACATCTGTTCTCGCAGACATTTCACACAGTGTAAATTGATCTAGTGTTTTTTTAATCTGTGACCCTGTTTTAAATGCTTTTTATTAATTCTTCAGTTATTATTATTAGTGTATTGTATTTTTTTTCTCTTTAATTTTACTCCCATTGATTGTTGTTGTTGTTGTTAAGCACTTTGATAACAGGTTCTGTTTTAAATGTGCTCTATAAATAAAGTTGACTTGACTTTTGATCAGGACATGTATTTTATCCCCCACATTAAAAACTTTACTAGAACCACTTTCTTCCATCTGCGTAATATCATTAAAATTGGAAACATCTCATCTAAAAATGATGTAGGAAAAGTGGTTCATGCATTTGTCACATCTAGACTGGACTATTGCAATGGTTTATTATCTGGATGTCCAAATACTTCTTTAAAACGTCTTCAGTTGATCCAAAATGCTGCTGCCAGAGTCTTAACTGGAGTTATTAAGAGAGATCATATCTCTCCAGTTGTAACTTCTCTCCACTGATTCCCTGTCATACCCAGAATTGAATTCAAAATTTTATTTCTAACCTTCAAAACTCTCAACAACCTGGCTCCATCTTATATTACAGATCTTATTGTTCTATATTTTCCTAACAGAGCACTTTACTCTCAGACTGCAGGCTTACTTGAGGTTCCTACAGTAGACTACTAGAGGACAAATTGATCTCATTTCCTTAAATGATTTGTTAAAATTGAATAGTTTTCATTTGAAATTATTTCTATCTTGACATGTGATTCTTAACCTGCCATTGTGTATCTGTTCCTCCTTCCTGTTCCTCTCAAACCCAGCTGCTCGAAGCAGATGGCCGCTAGTCCTGAGCCTGGTTCTGCTAAAAGTTTCTTCCTCATGAGGGAGTTTTTCCTTTCCACTGTCGCCTTCATGCTTGCTCAAAATGAGAGTTCTGCAATTGAGTTAAATTCAAAGCAGTCTGCTCCTCATAATGTTAACTTATTATTTTTGTTTCTGTTAACTTATTATTTTTATATATGAATGTTTCTGTTAACTTATTATTTTTATATATGAATGTTTCTGTTCAGTGTCCCGAGACGATTTCTGTTATGACTTGGCGCAATATAAATAAACTGAACTGAACTGATCAAGTCTCTAGAGACAGGAAGCTGCTTTCTATTTGTATCAAGCACCAATTTGGTCCATCCATCTTCTGAACCTGACCATCAACAGCAAACAGGAGTGGGTCCCTCACAAGACACTGATGAACTGTCATGTCACACACACACACACACACACACACACACACACGCACGCACGCACGCACGCACGCACACACACACACACACACACACACACACACACACACACACACACACACACACACACACACACACACACACACACACACACACACACACCCACACACACACACACACACACACACACACACACACACACACACACACACACACACACACACACACACACACACACACACACACACACAGCCCATTTAGAACCCCTATTAAATTAATTTGGGGTAGGCTATGGGATTTTTCAAGATGTTCACTCTTTTTCAACATGAAGGTAAAGGGCGGTGGGGGCTCAGACTCATGCACAACAGCTAGTGTCTGTCACTGTTTACATTTATGAGGAAAAAAAAAAGAAATAAATGAAAAAGAACAAAGTCCATGCTCAATAATCCAGGTATACAATCCAACATTTTTCAGTCAGGTCATCTGGACAGTTTCTTTTTTTTTTTTTTTTTTTGTGCTGAAACGTTTCACCTTCAATCCGGAAGGCTTCATCAGTCAAGGAAACACACAACAAAACTGATTCTTCAGGCCACACACATCCAAAAGAAACTGTCCAGATGACCTGACTGAAAAATGTTGGATTGTATACCTGGATTATTGCGCATGGACTTTGTTGTTTTCAACCAGTTTGACAAGACTGTCAACAAGGAAGAGGGCCGGCAATGGAGGAGGGGGTGTACCAAAGAGACCATCTTATCACAAGCAGAACTGGTTTGTTCCACTTTGGAGTAAGCTGTTGGAGGAAGAATCAGTTTTGTTGTGTGTTTCCTTGACTGATGAAGCCTTCCGGACAGAAGGCGAAACGTTTCAGCACAAAATAAGAAACTGTCCAGATGAGCTGACTGAAAAATGTTACATGAAAACGAGTTCAAAATAACGCAGAAGTGCTGACTTACTTGCATCATCAAAGAACTTCCGCTTTCCGTCAGCTGATGACCCGGTTGACATTTATTTATTCCTCCTTGAGCCCGAGTGGAGCTGTGTGTAGATTAACCACGAGAAGGTGAACATGTCTCCATCACTGGCCGTGTTTTTATTTTGTTTTTTTACTTTGACTCAGGCGAACTCGCATTCACCCAGGATGACGTTCACATTGAACGGTAGGAGACATTTCTATCTCTTTTTTTTGTTTGGAGCTAAGTTAAATGTTTTGTTTCATCAGCAGGAAAGTGGAGGCTTGTTCTCACACAGTTAATGAGCAAAGGACACGCATTTTGATTGGAAACCTGTTCTTTGGTCCATAGGCATCGCAACCATTATATGTGAAGGGGACAAGTCCCCCCCCCCCCCCCATTAAAAAAATGTTAATTTGAACCCCCCCACTTTTACTATAAAACATTAGTTCCGACGGCGCAGTTTCTTTCTTCGTGAACGAATCCATTCCACTTGATTAATAGGAGAATACTCAGGCCACTAAAACTCCACTCCAGGTTTTCCTGGTTACCTCCAACTCTAAACACTTCAGCCTGTTGCCACGGTCACAATATACGGTGGTCACAGAATATGGTGTAACACCTGCAGTCTTTCTGTGCGTCTCCTGTCTCGGCATAAAACGCGCACAGGTGGAGGAGATGGAGACACCTCTGTGTTGCTCGCTCGCCAGTTTAGCAGCTTAGTGTGGGCAGTTGTTGACCAGGGGGTCGATCATAAACATGTATTCATGTTAGGAGGATGCTTGAGAGGAGCGCTACATCTGTAGCATGTTCTCTTGGCAGTAAGTGTGAGGCTGTGACACGCTGCAGGTGTAAGAGACGCTGTGTGTTCAGGTGCATTAAAGTTGAAATATATCCCCACACCTTATTGTCCTCAAGCTTCATGAGAAACATCATTTAGATGAGTCGTGTTGAACACAAGTAAAAATGTCTAGTGGCGATGGTCTTTATTTCTCTGTAAAGACAAATAGTGCCGACCTGATGCTCTGTATTAAAGTTGTTATTTATTATGAGACTGAAGATGACATTGACAGCTGAAGAAGGAGAGGATCTGTTAAGTTTTGTGTTTTGCATGCTCTTGTTGGGCTGTATAATTTAAAGCAGCTGGGGGCTGATATATATAACACCAGTTTATTTATCATTTTTAGAGTGGCAAACATCTGCCTGTCAATCTGTCTTCTGTACAGAGCTGCTCCAGTTTCAGGATAGAGGTGGTCTTGTAATGTCAGGAAAAAAACGAGTGAAATGTCCTTGTTAAAGTAAGTTTTTAAAATGTTACAAATAATAATAATAATAAACTGAGTCAGCAGTCATATTGTGGCGTCAAAGTTCATGCAGACATTTCTGTTGCAGCGAGTACTGTACAGCTCTGCTGAAATGATCAAATGTCAGCTGCTAAAATTTGACTTGTAAAGAGAACTGTAGTTAACTTTGTGGAAGTAGTTTAACTTGCAAATCAGGAGGCTTTCATTTGTGAAGCAGATCACACTTTTATTTTTGACTTCCACTCAGTTTTTGAAGCAGAATGAGAATTGAGCATTACAGCATGTTTTTTTTGGGTGGGGTGGGGGGGTGGAGGTTGGTCTTTTTATGGGCAGTGACAATTCAGGTTTTTAAGGATGCTTTGAAAAATGAGTTGAATACATTTTCTGACGCATGCAACTTCATTTTTATTATATCATGGATCAGAATCGTTAAAGTTTGTATTTAAAGGACTCTTCTGAACGTTGAACTAAACCCCTCACATGTCTAACAGACTGAATCATGTCACACAGAACCACTGTGGTAAATCTCATGATCACACCACAGAAGAAGTCAGCACATATTAGGAATGATTAGTTGATGTGCAAAATCTCTCATGAAAAATGCAGAGTCAGCTTTGTAGACATTGAGATATTTTATGTCTGAATGACAGTCTGGAGACATTAAAATTAAAGTCTAATGATAAGTTAAACAGGAGAAAAAAAATATCACGTCGGTTAGTTTGTTCTGGATGAAGAAGCTCTGTTTGCACTGTTACTTTTGCACACCCAGTTCACTTGACAGACATCTCATAATATGATCCTTTACTTACAGAGTCTCAAGTTGAATCGTTTTCTTTACCTGGACAATACGTCCCCGTGCAGATTCTCCTGGAAGAGCAGCCAGATGTTGTCACGTCTGTTGGAAAAACAAACCTAAACTTCTACCGCTTTAAAAGCCAGAAGACTGCAGTGATGACCCAAACTTTGAGGATATCTTCTAGAAACAAGGATTCTGGGGAGACGAAGGTGGTGTGGAAGGAATGCACTGAAGTGAGCGGCATCAAATGACGGCAGTGAATCTGGTAGGGTCTGTTCTCCTCTGCAGAAGGATCAGGAACATGTTTTTGTCATTTAGGACTGCGACTACAACATCACAGTGGTCCATCAGAGGGAGGTGAACGGGCCGGTGTTCGTGTGTGGGACCAACGGCAAGAACACTCTGTGCTGTTCCATGGTATGACTCTACAGACATGAGTCCAGAACTGGACCCATTTTAGAAAGAGGCTATTGTAGATGGTAGAAGCAGATTATTACACCAGTTGTCCCTTATTGCACTTATTAAGTTCTTATTACAGTTTTACTTAAGTTCAGTAATGGCTGACGGATAAAAACTATTTTTAATTGTGTTTGTTTTTGTCTTGATTGATCAGTACCTTTTCCCTGATGGTAACAGTTCAAACAGATCATGTCCAGGGTGAGACCATACCATACAATACCATACCACTTTATTTATAAAGCACTTAAAACAGCTACAAAGCCAACCAAAGTGCTGTACAGACAAAACAACAGGTAACACACAAAGCAAAATACAAAATGAGGTAAATCAGAATATAGACAAAAAACGATGCAGATAATGACGACAAACCAGTGTGGAGCGTACAGGATCAAAACACAGATCATCTTGTGCTGAAAGCTATTGAATAGTAGTGAGTTTTTAAACGGGACTTGAAAACCAAGAGGGAGGGGGCCTGTCTGACAAGCAGAGGTAACTCGTTCCAGAGCCTTGGTCCTGCTACAGAGAAGGCCCTGTCACCTCTGCGCTTAAGACGAGTTCCTGGAACTGTGAGGAGCAACTGGTCCGCTGACCTCAGGGAGCGTGGTGGGACATACGATTGTAGCAGATCAGAGAGATGGGGGGGACAGAACTGTTCAGTGATTTGTAGGCATACATGAGTATTTTGAACTGGATTCGAAAGTGAACCGGTATACAGTGCAGTGAGGCCAAAACTGGTGTAATGTGCTCTCTTTTGCCTGTACTGGTTAACAATAGGGCTGCTGCATTCTGGACCAGTTGTAGTCGTGCAATGGAGGTTTGACCTCCATTGCATGACGTGTCCTTTAAGATGTTGTGGGCTTTTCCTATGCAGCATGAACTGTGTAGATCTTCCAGCGAGAGAAGAGGCCAGCCCACGATCGACTGAGCTGTGTTAACTCTCTGGAGCTCTTTCCTCTGATCCACTGTGCAGATAAGATACCACACAGTGATGCAGTATGTTAAGATGCTCTCTATGGAGCATAAGAGAAGGACAGCAGTCTCTGGTCTCTGGGTGATGTTCCTCATGATCACTCTCAGGAAGTACAGTCTCTGCTGGGCCTTTTTCAGCAACCCAGAGGTGTTCATGCTCCAGGTCAGATTCCCTTCAATATGGGCTCCCAGGAAACTGTAGTCAGCTACTCTCTCCACACTGTCAGTCTTTGAGGTGTTGAGGAGCAGATTGTTCCCCCTGCATCAATCAGTCAGTTGTTCCACCTTGCCCTTGTAGGCAGACTCATCCCCCACACTGATGAGTCCTACCACTGTGGTGTCATCCACAAATTTGACTAAGGTGTTGCTGTGGTGAGCAGAGGTGCAGTCGTGTGTAGAGGGCATAGAGCAGGGGGCTCAACACACAGCCCTGGGGGGCTCCCGTGTTGAGGCTAAGGACCATGGATGTGTGACTGTCCATTCGAACCCTCTGACTGCGGTCAGACAAGAAATTATTTATCCATGTGTAGGTGGAGTATAATCCCAGTTACTCCAGTTTGTCCACCAGTTTGTTGGGAAGGATGGTGTTGAAAGCAGAGCTATAGTCTACAATGAGTATCCACACATACAGTAGTTCTTCATTTCCTCCAGGTGGGACACTGAAACATGGAGGGCTGTGCGTATGGCATCCTCATTTGATCTATTTATTAGTTCTGTAAGCAAATTGGTGGAGGGTCAAGGTTCTGTGGGGGGAGTGAAGTGGTGTGGCTTCTGACCAGCTTTTCAAAACACTTCATCACCACTGGTGTGAGCAACTGGCCAGCAATCATTTAGACAGGAAATCTGGAGTTTCTTGAATATGGAGACAAGTGTAGTTATCTTCAGGCAGGGTGGGACCATGGACTGGGACAAAGACCTGTTAAAAATCTTGGTCATAGCTCCAGCTAGTTGGTGTGCACAGTCTCTCAGGACACGACCGGGGACATTGTCAGGTCCAGTAACCTTCCTCGGGTTAACAGCCCGTAGTACGCGCTTCACCTCTGAAGCTGCAAAATGCTTTAAAAATAAACTTCCTGTTTAAATGTTTCATTTCTAAACACAGTGTTGTGCAGTATTTTTAAATGCTTTTTGTTTGTTTGCAGAATTTAACAGAACAATCACATGAATGTGTTCCCTCAGAGGGACTGAGCAAAATTCAGCAAACGATAAGAGAATTTGTCATTAAGGGAGGTGAACATTCTCTCCTCACAGGTAAGTTTTATTATTTTTCAGTTCCTTCTTTCTTCTTCCCTCATAAGCCATGCTAGCTCATTTCAATCCTTATTTTATTGTTCTCCTACATCCAGGAGTTGTTCTTCCTGAACATCTGTGCTTTCTGCAGCCTGCTTCTCTCAGCTTGGTTTGCATTGTACCTTCTTTTTCTCTACTAACATTTGATAGAACAGTTCTGCATTAAAACCTTCTGTTTTCATCTTAAAATATGCAACTGTCCACCCCAGGATCTGAACAAAGTCAAGATCTCTACATCACATACTCTGGAGCTCATGAGTGTGCTGGCATCCACAAGTTTGGGAGTGGAAGAGTAGGACCACCGACCCACGATAAAGGTATTTTAGATATCGTTTTGGGAACTTTCTTTAACTTTTGTAATGTTACTACAGATTTTTAGAAATAATTTTTTTTCTGCCTGTAGAGCAGCACTATGTGGGTTTGGTGCTCAGCAGGAGGAATGATAGCTCCCAGAACAAGATTTATGCTTTCTATAAGCAGAAAAACAAAGACACAAGACTGGATGGAGACATGTGGCTCTCCTATGTGAGCCAAGTTTGCATGGTGAGGCCTGCACAGTGAGAAAATGAGAGATTACAGACACACAAGATGTTTTATTTCATACCTAATATACCTAAAGTTATCACTGCCTGCTTATTTTTTATTTATTTTTTTGGTGGGGGGTTGATTTAGTCAGATACTGGTGGTTCCAAGAGCACTCTGCAGTTTAGCTGGACGTCTCTGATGAATACCAGACTCTTCTGTGGAAACCCAAACACCAAACAGGATTTCTCTGAGCTGGTAGATGTGGCCACTGTTCATTCAGACCGGTGGGAAGAAACTAAGGTCTACGCTCTCTTCAGGAATGAATGGTAAGATGCAGAGGTGTTGGAGTTTTGTCAAGGATACAAAATGCCACACGGGCTGTGGTGGCTCAGTGGGCAGTGCTGCAGTCTCATAATCCTGAGGCTGCAAGTTCGAGCCCAGGTTACATGAGGAACACATAAAACAGTTGTCAAATCTTTCATGCGAGTTTCTTCGCTGTGGTGACTCCTCCTGGAGAAGCAAGCGTCTGAAAGAACGTCATCAAAATACTGCAGTTCAGTTAAAAACTGTTTATTTCACTTTGGGATCTACTGGATTCAAACTCAAATGAAAACTAAAATGTTACTTAAGCAGTATTATTATCTGACATCATGTGACTATGGTGAAACCAGACTTGTCAGCTGCTTTTTATTCTCCGGTCATCCCAAATCACGTTACAATAACTTTAACCAAGCCGAGGCCGTCAGGGAAAAACATTATTTAATAATGGTTATTTTCAGCGTTCAAAACATGAGATTCAGTCATCTGCTGACAGCAAGAGAAATAATTATACACCTTCATTCTTCTAGTTCTTTTTTACTTTCTTGTCTTATTTTTTTCAGATGTCTTAGCAGCTTAGCTTGAAGTTTTGTTAGCCTTGTTTTTTGCAGTTGTTGCATTCGATGTCTCTTTGTAACCCTGCTGACCGTGGTGTTTCTCTGCAGGGGCATGAGCGCTGTCTGCGTCTACACAATAGGAGACATTGACAACGTTTTTACAACATCCCCGTTTAAAGGGTCCTTCACATACGATGACATAGACAAACGCAGGAAAAGGGTAAACTATTTAAAGATATGTTGGAAAAAAACTTGGGATAATCTCATAATAATTGTTTTTCTATTTTTGCATGCTATTTGAGTACTTTTAAAAGGTTAGGTTTTAAATGAGGCTGAAAATAAAATTTTCCTCCAAATGATCTAATTTATGATAATTATACAGTAGTCCCTCGCTACTTTGCGGTTCGTTTATCGTGGATTCGCACTATTGTGGTTTTGCAAAATAAGACTGGACATGACACACAATTGGCTGATTGATGGATGAGCCACACGATCGGCATGAAATTGTTATTTAAAATAAATTATCTTAAATTATTTAGCACCTGCTGCACCTGTGTGCAACCCTTACTGCTGCAGGATAAACTTTCTGCTGCAGCTGATCAGCTGATCTCCGTGCAGAGTGGAGAAGTGGGCGTGGCTAAGAGCGCTTGCAGGTGGCTGAGAGCAGAGGAGGCAGAGAGCTGAAATCTTGACATTCTGTGCTCTTTTAGAGCGTTTAGAAACCCATCCATCCATCCATTATCTTTACCCGCTTGTTCCATTTGGGGTCACGGGGGTCGCCGGTGCCCATGTCCAGCAATCACTGTGCGAGGGGCGGGGTACACCCTGGACGTGTCGCAGGTCCATCACAGGGCCACATAGAGACAAGCAACCATTCACTCTCTCACTCACACCTAGGGACAATTAAGAGTTACCAGTCAGTCTATCATGCATGTCTTTGGTCTGTGGGAGGAAACCGGAGTACCTGGAGAAAACCCACGCATGCACGGAGAGAACATGCAAACTCCACCCAGAAAGGCCCCTGGACCGGGGTTTGAACCAAGGACCTGCTCGCTGAGAGGCAGCAGCTCTACTAGTTGCGCCACCGTGCTGCCACATTTAGAAACATTATTTAGAATATTGCAAGAGTGTGGGAAGGGTTTAAAACGCCTTAATATCTATATAAATAATTTTTTAAAAACTACTACTTGTGCTACTATTCCTACTTTGCGTTTTTTCACTTATCACGGGTCTTCAGGGTACGGATCCCTGGCAATAAACGAGGGACTACTGTATTTTGAATAAAAACATTTGCCTGCGTTTTGATGGTAAACTGTTTGAAAGCTTGACTGCAACCCAGTGTAAACAGTGTGCTCTTCATCTTTTATCATTTGTTTCTTCAGTGTGTCCCTGACAGCACCAAGATTTCTCCAAACGTCCTGATGAGGATTAAAGTGACCTCAGAAGTGGAGCAGTGGGTGCAGCCTGTGAACAGGTTTGGACCTGTTGTCATTAAGCACCACAACTACACTCACATCTACGTTGATGCTTCCCAGAAGACGGCGAATAGTCATCATCAGGTCGTCATGTTTCTCTCCCTGAGTGAGTAAAATATCCTTTAATAACAAGCAGAAGCTTCTGAGCAACAAAAACATGCTTTAAGTGTGGTTTTAAAAGTCCTGCAGGTGTGAGCAGCAGTAAGGGCCAATGGGGAAAGTAATGTGTCAGGTGTGGATGACTGTGTGCCATGTAAAGTTTAATGTGCTGTATGTTTACTGGGATTTAACAAGAGACCCAGTATTTGTTTAAAAGGTTTGACCTCACTTTGGGAGTACAGTAGTCCCACGTTTATTGCGGGGGTTACATTCCAGACACCCCCGGAATAAGTGAAAATCCGCAAAGTAGGGACGTTATATTTAAACTCTTAAACCTACGTCATTTTAACAACATACATATATGTAGCTACTAAATTTTACTCACCAGCTCGGCAGAACAGCAGCGGTTCGGTTCTGCTCCGACCTGGTTCCATTTCAGCGAACCTACCCTGCCGGTTCTGGTTGACTCTCTTGCTCGCGGTAGTGGCGATGGGCTCCGGTGGGAGAGCTGGACCTACGGCGACGCGCATCCCCGTTCGGAGGTCCTCGTGAGCCGGCTAGCAGCTCTCGGATTTGCCGATGGGTCTGGAGGTCTGGTTCTGCTAGTTCTGGTCCGGTGCAGCCCTTGTGCACCTAAACACATTTTGGAGGGAGCCGGACTTTCAGACGCCCAGCACGGGACCAGACTGAGTCCAAATCTAGATGAAAAAAAGTCTTGGTGGACTCCAGAGAGAACGCCGGACCTGTGGCGGCACATCCCCACTTGGAAGTCCTTGCAGACCGGCTAGCAGCTCTCGGGTTCACCGATTCTGGTCCGGTTCCCGGTGGGTTCTCTGCATCCGCTGGGCACCGAAGTCACTGAATGAATAAAAACCACACTTTTTCCAATCAGATCAAAACTTTCCCTTTAGTATTTCAGCAGAAGGCAACGGGGCTTCTGGGCGGGGCCCTGTTGACTTCTGGGAAATGTAGTTGTTATGAGTGGAGATAAAGTTTAGTCTTGTTGAAAGAAAACTACAAAATGGTGGCGCCTGTCTGAAGTATTTTATTTTTTTGTTAACTTTTTACTGTACAGTATCCAGTACTGTCCCAATCACATGAGTAATATTGGAGTTGACAATCATGTGCCATGTACAGCTTTATTTATTTTTTCCCATGTTCAATCTTATTTGAAAAACCACAAAAGAGCTAGTCCACAAAATTGAGCCGCAAAGTAGTGATGGACTACTGTAACAGATATTTCTTTGGTTTCTGGTCGGGAATTTCTGGTCAAAGGTTATGGATGTTTTTGCTGCTATGGCTGACAGTGTTGGCTCTGCCCATGATATGTTTGGGTTGGTGGAGAGAGCTAGGTGAGGTTGCAGCTTGAGCTGTCCGCAAAGGACATCTTGGAGTCTGTGGGCTCAGCTGAACTGATGAGTATAAAAACAAGCTTCACATGCTACTCATGGCAGATTCTTGTGACTGGTCTTCATGTGTGTACTTCCTGTATATCTGTGCAACCTGGCCTGAAAATCTGATATTGCAAGTAAATACCAGTTAAAAATCTTCTCCTGCTGTCGAGCCTGGCTCCTTTTAATTAAGATAAAGCGAGAATATGTACTACAGAAATTATAAGCAATTATCTTGTAAAAATAGTTTTTGTTAGCCCTCATGACTGCTGGCTGAGCGGTTTGAACTCATTTTATATTACACTTTGAACGGGATGTCTAAACATCATGACAGCTGTTAGCAGTGTAGCTGTCATCAAGAGTCAGCAGGTGTTTTATGAGAAGACAGAGCTATAAAAACAGCAGCCGAGGATCAAATCAACTTTACAATATCTATCAGTAAATTAGAAGCAAGGAACAGAAACTGAAGGAGAAGTGGCAAAAACAATGGGAAGAAAAGAGCAAGAGACGGTGCTTTCAGAGAATTCACAAGTGAGGGTGGGAAATGAGAACAGGAAGGAGGGACTGAAGAGGAGAATAATTAAAGCAAGACTAAAGTTTAGACCCACTGGACCTAACAGCGCATCATTCACAATAACAGAATACAGGTCAGTGTGATCCCTGTGGACACCAGGAAACAATACAACACGCCATGTTGTTTTGTCAGAAACATGAACAACACAGAAGATGCAGGAAAGATGAATTTGATATAACCTAATAAATGTTCTACAGAAATAATCAAGAAGTAAAAGCATCTAAATTGTTAGGAATTTTTCTTTTTAGAAAAACAAAACTAGTAAACAGAACAAAAACAAGATTACATAAAGACAGTCTGCTCTCACTCCATATCAGCTGCTGGTGATGATACACACCCTCAAACACCAATAAACTCCACAGAGAAGTAGTAGTCATTTTCAGATCCAGCTGTTGAGCAGCACTATTTACCCTCTGATATCCAGCTGTTCTCTCTGTGTTCCAGTCTTAGTTAGTTTAGACCTGCTCACTGTTTGCTTCTGGTTTATTGTGTCCAGTTCTCCTGCTTGAAGATTGGTTCTCTAAAAGAGCACAGCATGTCATACCATACCATACCATACTATACCATACCACTTTATTTATAGAGCACTTAAAACAGCTACAAGGCCAACCAAAGTGCTGTACAGACAGAACAACAGGTAACACACAAAGCAAAATACAAAATGAGGTAAATCAGAATATAGACATAAAAATGATGCAGATAATGATGACAAACCAGTGTGGAGCGTACAGGATCAAAACACAGATCCTCTGGTGTTGAAAGCTACTGAATAGTAGTGAGTTTTTAAACGGGACTTGAAAACCGAGAGGGAGGGGGCCTGTCTGACAAGCAGAGGTAACTCGTTCCAGAGTCTTGGTCCTGCTACAGAGAAGACCCTGTCACCTCTGCGCTTAAGACGAGTTCCTGGAACTGTGGGGAGCAACTGGTCCGCTGACCTCAGGGAACGTGGTGGGACATACGGTTGTAGCAGATCAGAGAGATGGGGGGGACAGAACTGTTCAGTGATTTGTACTATATACTGTTAGTATTTTGAACTGGATTCGAAAGTGAACCGGTAACAAGTGCAGTGAGGCCAAAACTGGTGCAATGTGCTCTATTTTGCTTGTACTGGTTAAAAATTGGGCTGCTGCATTCTGGACCAGTTGTAGTCGTGCAATGGAGGTCTGACTGATACCAAACAGGAGTGAATTGCAGTAATCAAGCCTAGATGTAATGAATGCATGTATTACTGTCTCCAGGTTATTTTTGGACAATATGGGCTTCAGTTTAGACAACCGCCTCAGTTGGAAGAAGCATGATTTAACAATCATGTTTATGTGATTGTTGAGTTTCAGCGAAGGGTCCATTATCACTCCCAGATTAGTGACTCTTTGTTTTTCTGACAGGGTTAGAGCAGAGAGGTCAATGCAGTGGTTTGTGATTGTGTCATTGGGAGGGAACAAAATGACTTCAGACTTATTTTCATTGAAACTTAAGAAGTTTAAAGCCATCCAGTCCCTGATGTCAGCCAGGCAGTCGAGCAGCGGTTGAATCGAGCATGTACCATTGTGTCTTAGGGAGAAGTAAATTTGACAGTCATCGGCATAGAAGTGGAAGGGCATGTTGTGTGTCCGGAAAATAGCACCTAGCGGCAGCAGGTATAAAGAGAATAGGAGGGGACCCAGGATGGACCCCTGCGGAACCCCCCATTTAAGCTCTGCCTCTGCGGAACTAAAATCCTTGATGGAGACACAAAAGGATCTGTCAGTGAGGTAGGATCTGAACCAATTGAGGGCTGACCCTGTGACGCCCACCCACTGCTCCAACCTAGCAATGAGGATCTCATGGTTGATGGTGTCGAAGGCGGCCGTGAGGTCCAACAGGACAAGCAACACAGAATCACCAGTATCTGTGGATCTGAAGATGTCGTTAAAGACCTTCAATAAGGCAGTTTCAGTGCTGTGGAGAGGTTTAAAACCAGATTGGAATAGCTCTAAGATGGCGTGATCCTCCAGGAAGCACTTCAACTGGGACTCAACTATTTTTTCCAGTATTTTAGAAACAAATGGGAGTTTGGAGACAGGCCGGAAGTTGGAAACGACAGAGGGGTCAAGGTTTGTTTTTTTCAGGAGAGGCTGGACAGCAGCATGTTTAACGGATTTTGGCACCACACCAGTGGATAAACTACTGTTTACTATAGCAAGAATGGACGGACCTAAAGTAGGAAAAACCTCCTTTAGTAGTCGAGGGGGGACCACATCAAAGGGGGAGCCAGAAGGTTTCAAACTGCACATGACCTGCTCTAGAGAAGATAGAGTGATGGGTTCAAAACGGTCAATTGGAGCTACAGATTGAGGTGGGATGGATGGGTCATGAGTTGGAGGGGAAATGAGAGCCCTGGTGGTCGCAATTTTTTCCAAAAAGAAATGTAAGAAGTTGTCGTCATGATTTCAGCTCCCTGCCTCCTCTGCTCTCAGCCACCTGCAAGCGCTCTTGGCCACGCCCACTTCTCCGCTCTGCACGGAGAACAGCTGACCAGCTGCAGCAGGAAGTTTATCCCGCAGTAAGGGCTGCACAAAGGTGCTAAACAATTTAAAATAATTTATTTTAATTAAATATTCCATGCCGATCGTGCGGCTCATCCGTCAATCAGCCAATTGTGTGTCATGTCCAATCTCATTTTGTCCCCAATAAACGAACCGCGAAGTTGCGAGGGACTACTGTATAAACCAGCCTTTAGTTAGATTTATTAAAGTTTTATTGGTTTAAGTTTAGTACTCCACCTCCGACTCCACACGTTGGTCCACTAATATGATAATAGTAACACTAATGTCATGCTCATATGATGAACATTATGAAGTAAACTGTAAGCTAAGTGTTCTTGAGCTGGATTGTTTCATCAATGTTTGCTGAAGCAACATATTTTAATCTAAGAAAGTTTAAATGACTTGTCCAATGGGTTTTTAACAGAGCTGCCCTCATCATTTCTACACAAACTGACTTCTTTGTGTTTGACATTTTAAAAAGAACTACTGATCATCTAGTTACACACACGATCTGCTAATACACTGAGGTGTTTGGTGGATTTGTAAGAACTTGCAGTTTTCTTTCTCTTACGAACATCAAATCATTGAACTGATTTAAATCGTTGCTCTGAGTTTCAGATTGATTTCATGATGAGTCAGCAGCACAGAGCTGTCAGCATCTGTATGTATACTTTAAACTCACAGATGAAGAAGTTCTTTTTTTTAATCTACAAAAAATAGTTTTATTCGAGTCTAAAGAAACAGGGAGGTGTCGGTTTTCCTCACTCTCTGGTAATGTCTCCTCCACTGACATGATCAATGTCAAACTGAACTTTTATAACCGTACATTCGATCGTCAACATCATTCAATTACTTGAGAAGTTCTTTATTTCCTTTGCAGAGTTTTGTTCTTATTTCTTGCTTTTTACCTTTGCTATTTGGTTGTGCCTCAAACGGAGCATAGGACTGTGGTTGCCTCAGGTTGTTTGACAGGACGGTGGGCGTATCTGTGATCACTCCGCTGGAAAAAAGCTTTACACTCGAGTGAAGTCACAGTAAAGGTGCCCTGAGGCAACTGGGTCTGTGGTTCGAAGGTGGAAGAAGGTGTAAAGGCAGGTGTGTGTCATCCTTTTTTCTTTTTTCTTGTCTTCTTGGAAAGATGATGGAAAAATTCACAAAGCAGTGCAGAATGGGAGTCATTCACTTCTCATCGCTGAGTATCAACCATTCAACCACAGCGCCCACGTCCACAGTCTCCTCCTTCACGCTCCCTCTGTGAGTAACGCAGTCCCACCTACACATCAGCTCTGTCAAGGGTTATATTTCATTAAAAGCCCATTTAATTATGAAACTTGTGGTTCTCTGTAGAGGAAGTTGTACATGAACACCAGAAGTGAGCTCGTCCAGCTGGATGTTGCAAACTGTGCTCGGTATGGAGACACCTGTGAGGAGTGTGTCCTGTCCGGGGACCCTTACTGTGACTGGATCAACGCCGGCTGCAGAACCGTGACACAGTAAGACCTCACAGCTTTATCCAAACACATCTGATCCAAATACACAAACCTGGACCAGCAGAAGCCATTTCTAAAAGTTATGGTTTACAATAAAATATAGAAAAGCCAGAATATGACTACTTGATTTGTAGAATACAGCTTGAAGCTGCAGGATTGACATTTACTTACAGCCACGGTTTTGAAGTGTTTTTTTTATTTTTTTGTGGAGTAGTTGCCATGCAGTTAGTATCTTACCTGCAGTAGACATGCTCATACGTCATTTTAGACCAGAGGTCTGCAACCTTTGCAATAAAAAGAGACATTTTTGCCACTTTACTTACTAATTATGATGTCCGGAGCTGCAAAACCTGCTACAGCTGTGTACTGTCAAGTGGTGGTCCGTGGACCATTACAAGTGTGCTGGAAATGGCTTTTCTGGCCATTATAAAACAAAAAAAGTCTCAACTATTATTAACATTTATTGATATTTTTACATTTTAATATAAAAGAAAAGAACAGATTCATGTAAAGAAAGATAAACTATATAATTTTTAACAATTTTATAAAAATTAAAACATGAACTCTGCAGGCCAATGTGAGTTCTCTTAATTGTTGAAGAATTAAGTATCCTACTTAAAGCATAAACTTAAAGAGAGTATAAAATTAGGCCAGTTTGTTGAATATCCAGTTACATTTTAAAAGAAAAATAAATACTTTGGTTTACTTTGACTTTGTTTTTTGTGTTTTATTCTTAGTGTTATCAAAATTACTCACCATATTCTTTCTCAGCAGCTTCTCTTAAAGATATTCCACAACATGTTGGTGGCTTGGACAGAAAGATCACGCTGTGAGGCTGGAAGTTGACTTAGAGTGGCTAACAAACTACTAGCATGATGCAGTCCACACGGTTTAGGTCTTGTATTTATACTATTCTTCACATATTTGAAAATGACAGGAAATCTGATGAAACTAGCCATTTTCTTTGTTGGCAATAATTTAAATAAAATTCATTTTTATTTTAGTTTTGTTCAAAGCCTGAAAGAGCCGCTGCAGAGGTACCAAAGAGCCACATGTGGCCCCAGAGCCGCAGGTTGCAGACCCCTGCTTTAAGACTGTTTGTTGCTTACACAGATGATTGTTAAAAATATTTCACACTGATGATTGTTAGAGGTCACGGTCTAGGGTCTGTTGTAACGTGTTGCAAAACCGATTGTGTGCAGCACATCCAGATTGTATAACAATCTGATGTAAAGTTGTGTAGAAATCCACAGCATTCCACTGGCTTGAACCGTTGTGACTCTTTATATCGGGGTTGTTTTAGATGAGCTTGATCGTCCTGTGAAAAATGTCTGATTCTTCAAACTGAGATTGTTCTGCCTGCTACAATTGTGACTACTGCTAACTGTTGTGACACAAACAGTAATAACCCAACGTTTTGATTTCAACATCAACTAAAAGTCCTGTGGGGTTGGGACAAACCCTGTTACATTTAGTGACAGATGGTGAAATCCTTTATCAGCACTGGAGTCACAGGGTTGCATCTGATCCTGAAACATGGGTTCATGGTTTTACTAGTGGCCCAGCAGTTTGTATAAAGTATCACAAGACCTGCTACCACATGTTTACTTTGCCCATGTCATCAATCTTACACACCGTCAACCACACCTTTTGTTTCCAGCGTAGAGCAATTAGAAAGACGTAAATGACGATAGCACAATATTTCAACACCCGGTGACTCTGAGTTTTTCTATAGTCTGCCTTGCACCTGAACCGTAGCTGAAACTGCACAGGAGATGAATAATGTGAGGATGACTCCAAGTGTTGCCAGGCCTTGCCTTTGACTCCATCTTGTCTTCTCACCTGTTATTTTTGACAAGTCATTGTCCTCACTACTAGTGTCTGTGATTTATTTGAATGTTTACACTGCTTAACAAGCTCATTGTACAAAGTAGTACTTTAAATGGATTTTGATATATATAAAAAAAGGAACATTGTGCTTTTAGTGGGGTTCCCACATTGACTAAATACTGGCCAGTTAGCCAAACCTTTTAGTTTTCCAGTTAGACTCTCCTTTCTTTCACTTTCCTTTTCTCCTTCTCCAACAAAACGGATCATTTCAACAAAGTTTAGGGCTAAACAAAAACAAAAAGTGACCAGGCAACATTGATGATGGGAACCAGTAGATCAGTCCTCTGTTTCCCACAATGCTGAATCTTCAGACATGATTCTTGACTGTGGGAAGCAAAAACATTCTGCTGAAATGGAAGTGTGAACTTTGTGGGAAAGAAGTGAAAGGTTTATTTGCCATCTTCCACCTACGTTACCTTTTTTACAGCCCTACACTCCTCAACAAGACGTCTGTGGGGTCAGACTGTAAGAAAGGGCTCGTATACCCTGATCAGTTTAAACGTTGGCAGCTAAACAGCAGTGATCGGGCTCTGATGGGGGTTAATTAAAGTAGAGCTGCTCAAAAATATCCTAATGTGAATGTTTTGAACAGGAATTCATTTTCTCTGACTAGAATAAACCCAAAGTTGTAATCGCCCTTTGCCAAAATGATAGAACGTGCACGCCAAAAACTTACAACGTCTTTAGTTATGAAAGCTTCTGATTCTGAAAGACACGTGGCTTCTCTTTTCTGACATCATGATACTGCGGGGAGGGTTCTCCTGTGGCATTCAGGAGTTTCCACACAAACACGACCGCGGATGACTTGGATCACAAAGATCACAACGACCATATGAATTACAGGTGAAGTTCACTAGTCCATGTCAAAATAGACACTTCTTGCTTTTTAAACTACAAGAAGAGAACTTGCCTGTGGAGTTGTTGCAGTGATGCAATGATGGCGGGTGACGGTTATTTCAGCCTCTTGGCTTCAAGCAGCGGACCCCCTTCAAACCACATTTGGTGCAGAAGTGGTGCAGCTTTGTGCTGTTTGACTGTAGGTGGGGGGGTTGCTCTTAGTGATGAGGTTCTGAGAGTATCCTCATGAGTTTACTCACATTCACATGTCATTTTGAAAGACAGGAAATTCATTTCATTTCTTCACTTAAGAAAGAGAGAATTCTAATTAAATGACTGGAAATTGAAAAGAAGATATTACATTTTTACAGTGTGCTGGTTAGCAGAAGGAAGTTTGAAGGGAGAATGATTTACATATATTTTAGTGGGAAACAGTATCCTAATATTCCTCCTCATACATCTCATGAGAGTCATAACAATCATCACATCCATCCATCCATCATCTTTACCCGTTTCTTCCTTTTTCGGGTTGCGGGGGTCATTGGCGCCCATGTCCAGCCATCACTGTGCGAGGGGCAGCTTCTTTAAAATTAAAAACGTGACGGTGTTGTAAAACGTCACTCAGACGTTCTGTTGGTAACATTATCCTGAGCTGTAGGGATAACAATAGTGTGCATTTTGTGTAAAACTGAACGAAAGATGTATTTTAATAAAGTTTTGTTTTTCTGTAGCACTCTTCAGGACATGGACAGAAGGCACGAGGACGTCTGCCAGAAACAAGCCCCCCTCATACGTCCACTCATCGGTAAATGTACAAACATTTTGAGTCGTCGAGGAGCCAGCTGATAATATTTAATAATAGTGGACTATAGGTGTGTTTAGATATACGTGTGGCTCGTTAAACAGCTACAAATGTCCCTTTGGCTACAGGACGGAAGGTTTATGAACATTATTTAAAAAAAAAAAAACGTTTATGTAAAACGAGTGATTATAAACATTAACTAAGTGATAATATATTTTCAAAAGAGGAAGTTCAGCATGTGACTGAATGAAGCGTCTGTTTGCCAAAGTCACAAATGAACTTGAATCAATCATTTAGTTCAAACGTATCTGTCAGGGCAGAAACTGCCACTCTTCATTCACCGTCATTTGTCCCGAAGGGGGTTTTGCTTTTTACATTTATCTAACTTTACAAACATCCCAGTTTTGTTTCTCAGCATGTCACTTATGGTAAGTGGGGGAAATGAGATCGGAGTTTTTTTGGCTCCTACTAAACATAAATGTTATCCGTTTGTGCAGCTGTTAGAGCTTATCTCATATCCTTTAATCTGAAAAGAGAACTTGCTGCATGTTGACAGACAGGATGAACTCAACAACAGAGCAATAAACCAGCAAGGCAACAGGAACAGCTTCTTGGTTTTACTGAAACTTACAGACCCAGATACTTCTCATAAGCCCCCCCCACACACACACACACACACAAACACACACACACACACCTCCATCTTGCACTCATCTTAATGCCTGATCGCTTATTTGTACTTTCATCTAATAAAAGCAACTCCACACCTGACCCATTGCTTAAAATCAACAGAGGAAGTTAAACTCACACATGGATGCTGCAGCGGATATCACACTACAAAAAGGGCTGAGGCTGTTGCGTGCACTTCTTTTAGCTCTGTTAAGAGTTGATGTTTTTAACGGAACACAGACAGAAGACCGTGTATATTTTTTCCTGTGGCAGCTGCAGAGGTCATTAGAGATGGGATTAAACTGGGTCTTTCTGAAACTACAAACAAATAATGAAGCTTATTTGATGCATGATCTAATAATCGTGCAGACTTGATTACGTCTCGCATGCGTTAAATAACTTTTTTTTTTTTTTAAGTGCACCTTTCAGCTCACAGCAGCAGCTGAAGGGACACAACTTAACAGAACTTTGTTTCTGCTCTGCTCCGACAATAGATCTTTTTTATTTATTTTAAGCAGCTTTCATTTCACTTTTCAAGACAGCCCAGTTTCTAGTTGCTTGGCTTATTTGCTATTCTGAAAGAGGATCTGTGCACCAGGATATAAAACTGCTCCAAGTTAAATAAACCCAGACTGGTTCGTGGTTACATAAAGTCAGTTAAGATGTTCATGTCACAGCTGAATTCATCACTTTGTTCTTTTCTTGTCTGTAAAACCTGCAGAGAACAAGGTGATGATGTCTCCTCAATCCAATTACTTTCTGAGCTGCCCCGTGTCGTCCCACCACGCTCAGTACACCTGGCACCACCCCGGTGGTACGACGCCCTGCGACCTGAAGGACAAGATGTGCATTCTTCTGATTGAGAACATGGGTCCAAGTCAGATGGGTCAGTATGAATGTGTGGCAGAGGAGATGGGGTACAGCAGAGTCCTGAAGCAGCAGTATCTAGAGCTGAGGAACACGGCGGGAGGGCGGACAGCAGAACCTGCGCTCTGGGTGTGTTTGGTGGTTCTCCTGGTCAAGAGCTTCTAGTGTCGATGTTCATGGTGAACTCTGCTTCTGATGACACTGAGATTTGGACATTTTCACGCATGATTTAGTTCAGTTCAAGTGCAGAAGTGTGAAAATACACATTTCAGTCAAGTTGTCCCTCAGAGCTCGGAGCAGAAAACAATAGATCAGCGTTTTCATTTTGGATGTGGCATCTGACACTTCACAAGATTTAAATGTGTTCAGTCTCTGAGGCGAGGTTTGTGATGTTTGGTCCTCAGATGCTTCTCTGCTCCTTTTCTATCAGCACCCAATGATTCTGTTTTTGTCTGTGTGATATTTTAATCCACACCTCTAATGCTGATTCTTTTTTTTTTTTTTT